GGGAGCTTCGGCCGCGGGATGGAGAGGCCCCGGGCCCGGGCCGAGGTGCTCCGTTGTCATCTGCGTGACCGTGGCCTGGCGGACAAGCTCCGTCAGGAGGCTCCAGAGGGGATGTTCTGGCCTAGGGGCCGTACTTGAAGGGGGCAGCTTTGGGAGCCAGAGTTTTATTTCAACTCTTCTTGCATATACGCATTGACTGCCAAAAATGTGCAGAGGAAAACCAAAAATATCAAGAATAATTAAGACTTCATTCTCTAAGGGGGTTATCTTTAGAGCATTGCCACCCCCTCAACCCCAAATTGTTCTTACGCAGAACACCTGCCCTACGCAAATATATAGAGGAAGGTGCTTGAATTCTGATCCATCCTTGCGCTTTGAGTAGTGTGTAACAGGAGTGCTGCCAGAGACCTCCCGAGGAAGGGAAATCCGCCTGTAGCAGGGCGATAGAGAGCCACGGTAGCAATTACAGTGATACCTAATTTGTTGTATGTATTTTACCAGTGACGGACAGTCTCCGTTGAAAGAAGTCATGTCCAAACTAAAATCGCGTGCTCGTCTCTGACACTTTGTGGATGTATGGCTGACAACTCCGTCTCAGCGTGGCTAAAACGGAGCTCTTAATCTTTCTCCTTGGCTTCCGCTTGCCTCTTCTCTCAATCATGGTTGACATCGCCGTCATTGTACCTTCACTCAGGACCGTAACTTGGATGTCATCCGTTTGATTTGGAACCCTTAACCAGCTCTCACAGGCGTTACCTTTAACCGTTTCCGATTACTGCTGGTTAACATCACTATGCTTTTACTGTCCCTCCAAGCAATTAGCATGTTCATTCAAATTCTAATTATCTTCCACCCTGACTACCCTTACCATTTTGTACCATTTTCTGGTCTGAGCAAACGTGTCCTTAGTCTTGTCTGACTTTAATACATTAAGAACACTACTCCAAAGACCTTTTTTATGACTACTGTCTTCACTGTTTCACAGACTGGTTTGCATTTGTCCACCGAGGGCAAAGCTTCCCAGAAGAGATGAGCAGTTCTGACGGCTACCTGGCACTGAGACAAACGGGATGGTGCTCCCCCAGCCGCGCCAGCTCCGGTACTCGTCT